TATGATTGTTATTGTTATAAGGCTTCTTGTGACTAGGTGTTCAGTGACTCATTTGGCTTTCCATTGGGAATCTATGTTAAAGTTGTTGGGCAATTGTTGTGTAAGTGCCAGTGGGGGCTTCCTGGATTTGAATCTTCCTGCTGATAAATGAGAAAGGTTGGCATGCACCGGTGAGAATGAGTCCTTCATAATAACCCTTCATCTTGTAGGGTTAGGTCCTTTGAGTAAGAATCTGGGGAATGTCATTCCAAGATACCAAAAAACACCAAGCTATAAAAGGCGGAAGGTTATTTTAAACTCATTTCCAATTTTACAGGCAGAGCGTTACATTTCCAAAGATAATGGTGGACATTTATGTCCTCCTAGGGAAAGTGCTTAAATACCTATTTGGCAAGAGATTGATACTGACAGATCATGTTCTCCAATATGATTGTCCTCTCCAGCTGCCCAAGGGCATCGTTTGGAATTATGCATGATGGGCTGGTGGAAAGACTGGATTTGCAGTCAGGACTACACAAGACCACAGCTCCATGAACTGGCCTCTTCACCAGAAGTTGTGTAAACTCCAACACATTTTGTGTGACCTGGTAGCCACGAGGCCCTCCGCTGCAGACATAACACCATAATAGACAGTGGCAGTAACGATTTCTCCAATTAGCAGTTTAGATCCTATTTGGCTGGGGTTTTTTTTTCTCCTTGCTTACATTGTTAGGGAGCTAGAAGAGATCAACATGCTGGTATGGATGGATGCAAACACACACACACACACACACACACATCCTTTTAAGGATATGAAATAGCAGTAATTCTGATGTCAGGCGTGAACATTTGCAAGATTGCGGTCTTCGACATGCAATTGTTGCAACAAGGAATCCGATTGTATTTGATTCTGATCGAAATGACAACCCAAACAGTTTGTTCAGATTACTAGTGGACATCCAGCTGTGAGAATTGGACTTCTTTTTTTTCTCTCTCTCTCTCCCATGCTGACCTCATCTGGGCTTGGAATGAATCCAAAGAGCCAATGCCTCACACAGCATCCTTTTGTCAGAAACAAAACAGGTCAAATTATTAAAGGAAAGAAAGACAGAGCACTCTTCCACCCAATACAAAAAACAGATGTGCAGCGGATTTTTCTTTCCCATTTTTAAGGGAGGGGTAGCTTTTTCCAATTGCAGGCCTGTACTTCGCAGAAGCCCGTTGGAGGAAGTATTATAAATACACACATTCATTCCCGTGGCAAAGATTGCATTGTGGCTATTAATTTTAGGAGGAGAGGACAAAGTTTCTTTTCAGTGCCTACCAGATTCTGGTGGGTAGCAAGGTTTAGTATGGCTTTAAATGCGGCTTGCAGATGGAACTTTATAGCCGCTCTTGAAAAGAACACGCATTGAGGTCTCTTCCTGCTTGTAGGGTTCCAGCAGTCTTGTTACATTAGGCATAAATGCATTGCAATGAGCAGTGTTTCTTAAGTTGTGCGTGTGGATTTGCGTCTATCGAAATGTGCCATGATCTTTGGAAATCCATATTGTAGGATAAAAAAGATGCTGAGTTACTTTTTTCTTTCTTCATTCTTCACTGTGAACTTGACTACCCAAACACTAAGCCAGTGATGGCAAACCTTTTAGAGACCGGGTGCCCAAACTGCAACCCAAAACCCACTTATTTATCGCAAAGTGCCAGGGCCACATCAGCATTGTGGTGCCCTCAGGGGGGGGCGTGGCCCACTGGGTGGGCGTGGCTGCGGTGGTTGACTGAGTGGGCATGGCTGGGGTGGGCATGGCCACCTTGATGTTGCTTGTGGGCAGGATTCGGGGTGATCCAGGAGGTCTCTGGTGGGTGGGGCGGTGGGCAGGAGGCTCATCCTACGGGGTGAGGCAGGGGGTAGGGCAGGGGTGACATTGCTGTGGGGCAAGTGAGGCAGGGGTGGCTGCTGCCTGATGCCATCAGCCCCTGCACACAGAGGCCTAATGGGCCTGTGTGAGCTGGCGGCGGCAGGTGTGCCCATAGAGAGGGCTCTGAGTTCCACCTCTGGCACGTGTGCCATAGGTTCACCATCACTGCACTAAGCCTTTACTTAGGATAAAGAATGTTATGCGGTGTATCATAGAGCATACTAAGGATGCAGCGGGCAAGGCTGACCCTATATAGTTTATTTATTTATCTCTGTGACTTTGATTCTGCTTCAGTCCATTAAGATTCTCTCCTGGGCTTTCTCCACCTCAACCACTTTAAGATGTGTGGACTTCAATTCCCAGAATTCCTGAGCCAGCATGCTAGGGAATTTTGGGAGTTGAAGTCCACACACCTTTAAGCAGTCTACAGTTAGCCATTATATTGAACGTAATAAAATAATATACTATAAAACTTTCAGAGTAAATAATGTTAAACCTACTATATAGGTACAAACGTGAAGAGATTACACCTTTCTTCCTATTCTAATATAATATCTAAAGTTCAGATCTTAACATTTTGAAAATACTATGGGTTTTAAAAATGTTAGAAATACTTCTCTCTCTCCCTGTGTCCCTATTTCATCTTTTCACAGAAACATTTTACAGATAGCTCTCAACTTACAGCCATTCATTTAGTGACCGTTCAAAGTTTCAGTGGCACTGAAAAAAATGACCTATGACAATTTTGCACACTTACAACCGTTGCAGCTTCCCCACGGTCATGTCGCCAGAATTCTGATGCTCGGCAACTGGTTTATATTTATGATGGTTGCAGCAGTGTACCAGGGTCACGTGATCACCATTTATGCCCTTCTGACAAAGCAAAATCAATGGGGAAGCCAGATTCACTTAACAATCATGTTAGTAACTTAACAACTGCAGTGATGCACTTAACAATTGTGGCAAGAAAGGTCGTAAAATGGGGCACAGCTCTCTTAACAACCGTCTCGTTTAGCAACAGAAATTTTGGGCTCAATTCTGGTCCTAAGTGGAGGACTACCTGTACATTCCCTAGCCACTCAGCCTCCTTAGCTTAGCTTGGAGGTCTTCTAGTCCAACCTTCTGCTCAGGCAGGAAATCCTAGTCCATTTTAGACAAAAGGTTCTCTAATCTCTTCTTAAAAACCTCTAGTGTAAGAGCACCGCCCACTTCTGGATTAAAGTTCTGATTAATTGTTCTAACTATCAGGAAATTTCTTCTTAGGTTGGTTCTTTCCTTGATTAGTTTCCATCCATTTTTTCTTGTCTTGCCTTCAGGTGCTTTAGAGAATATGTTGACCCCCTCTTCTTTGTGGCAGCCCCTCAAATACTGGAACATGACTATCATGTCACCCCTACTCCTCTTCATTGAACTTCTTGCTATTGTTGTTGTTGTTGTTGTGCCATATCCATTATCGGATGTTGGCGATCATGTTGGTGATTCTGTTTTTATCAGCAGCCGCACGAAAAAGTGCTGCTGAGTTTTGTCCAAACCAGTCCCTTAGATTTTGAAGCCACGATGTTCTTCTTCTGCCTGGACCTCGTTTGCCTTCAGTCTTTCCCTGGAGGATTAAATAGAGTACATGTATACCGTATTTTTCTGGGTGTCGCATCACATGTCTGAAATATTCTAATTTTCGTTTTTTAATTGTTTCGATGATTTCCCTTGGCTTTCCCAGGCGGCTTATCACCTCCTCATTTCTGATGTTGTCAACCCAGCTTATATGTAACAGCCTCCTGTAAATCCACATTTGAAATGTTTCTAGTCTCTTCAGGTGCCCTTCTGTCAGAGACCAACTCTCTACTCCATAGAGCAGGATAGAAAAAATATAGCATCTGACAAGCCTGATTTTCAGTCTTAGGCTTATGTCATGACTGCAGAAGATCTTTTTCATTTTGAAGAATGTTTCAATGCTTCATTGAACTAGACATACCCAATTCCAGCAACCGTTCTGCATATGTTTTAGCCTACAGTCCCCTGATCATCTTTGTTGCTCTTCTCTGCGCTTTTTCGAGTCTCAACATTTTTTTTATATCGTGACCAAAACTGGATGCAATATTCCAAATGTGGTCTTACCAAGGTACTAGCATTTCACATGATCTTGAGAAGCCATGGAATAGAAGAGAGGAAATGGGGACTTTTCTCCCTTTCAGCAGGTAGAAGGTGAAATTGGGCATGGAGAGCACAGAAAAGCACTGTGGGTCTGGAGGACTTCCACACCCTACTTCTCTTTTTCCCAAGCTCCCAATGCAGACAGGATGTCTCCTGCTTGACCAGCGGGCTGGACTAGAAGACCTCCAGGGTTCATTCCAGCCCTTTGTTCTACAGGTGCTCCTCAAGTTATGACTACAGATGAGCCCAACATTTCTGTTGCTAAGCGAGACGGTTAAGTGAATTTTGCCCCATTTCTTGCCACAGTTGTTAAGTGAATCACTGCAGTTGTTCAGTTAGTCACACGGTTGTTAAGTGAACCTGACTTTGTTTGTCAGAAGGTAGCAGAAGGTGATCACATCACCCCAGGACACTGCAACTGTCATGAGTCAGTTGCCAAGTGTCTGAATTTTGATCACCATTGCTGCAATGGTTGCAAGTGTGAAAAACGAACATAAGTCACTTTTTTTCCAGTGCTGTTGCAACTCCGGTCGCTAAATGAACTACTGTTAATCGAGGACTCCCTGTACTCCGTTGCCAAGACAGAGTGGGAAATTCTGCAACCCAGTTTCTTGCCTAGAAGAGCAGCATTTTAAGACGGCCGGGTAGAAGAGCCCTACGTGAAAATCACTGGCATCCTGTTCAACCGGACCGCTGCCGCCCTCTGAATCCCCCTCATCATTCCCCCCCCCACCCTTCGCTTGACAAAACTAATAACTGCAGAAGTTTCCAGCAGGCCTAGGAAGGTTGCCTCAGGCGTTTTGGAATGCCGAGCACCTCTTGCCATTGGCTGCTCAGCCTGGCAGAGGCTGATGGGAGCTGAAGTCCGGAACATCTGGAGGGCACCTGGTTGGCTAGCCTCGCGTGAAGGTAGCCCAAGCCTCGTAGGTGGGCGCAGCCCCGCCGGGGAGCCACCAGGCCTCCGGTCCCTCGCTCCTGCGGCTTCAGCAGCCTCAGGGACTCCGCCCGGCGCTTTTATGTCGCCCGCCTCCGAGAGGAGCGTCCGAGGCAAGGCGTCCGGCCTGCGGAACGGAGCCTCTCGCGCGCTAGGACCTGGCCAGCGCCTCAGGCGCGGCCGCTGCTGCTGCTGCTGCTGCTTCCCAGCTGCGCGCGTGGGTGGGCGTCGCGGCGGTTCGCGTTACGTCGCCGAGTCCCAGAGCCTTCGCCGCGCCTGAGGAGAGCAGCCTCGTTTCGGGACGGCTCCTCTGCCCCGGGAGTTCTCGCTTCGCCGCGGGCGGATACATGGGCCACCATTAGGACCCAGAGACGTTGCTATGATTTGGGCAGCCGTAGGTAAAAAAAAATAAAATAAAATAAAAAAAATCTCCGGCATTCCGCGCATTCCGGCGTGGGAAGCGCTGTGCGGGTTCTCTCTCTCTCTCTCTCTCTCCCCCCCCTCCACTTTCTGCCATTCGCTTCGCAGGATGGCCAAGAACGCAGGAAAAACCCCGCTTCAGCCTGTCAAAGCTGCACGCTTGCGCCCTGAGCAGCAGCCGCAGCCTTAGCAGCCTTCCCTACGCCTGCCGGCCTGCTTGCCTTAATCCTTCCCCCATTTTGGCCGGAGTGCTGGGCTGGGGGGCGGGTGGGCGAGAAGGGATGGAGGGTGCCGAGCAGAACTGGCTGGAAACGATGGCTGGGGGGTGGGAGAGGTTTTCCTTAATGGAATTGGGTTCCCCGTTTGATCCCCGGGAAATTTGGGGGGCGGGTGCCGCGCGAGCGATGATGCTAAGACTGCCTGCGCCTGTTCTGGAAGGTTGGAGAGAAGCCCGGGGATGCGGTTGCGGAGATGAAAGTGGGGCAAAGGGCCGATCTCCACGTTAGGTTTAGGATTGCCCACCCCGCCTAGCCGCCTGATCGCAGCCCTTCCGGCAGCCGAAGCAGTCCGTTGATCCCGGGATCTGTTCTAGCGGGAGGGTAGAGGAGGTTCTTCCCCCTCTCCGCTGGCCCCGGATAAGAGCGAGCGGATTCCTGGCTTCCTTTGCTTTCTTTCCAGCAAGCTTCCTATTTGGGCTTTTGTGGATCCCTCCATTGGCCACGAAAGAAGAGCTGGGCAGAGAAATAACTTTCGGGAGAGTATTTCAGAAATGAAAATAATTATACAGTAACGAAAAGGCTTGCCCCCTAAGAGCAATGTGGAGGTCACATGCTGGCCAGAGAGAGAAACGGGAATTATGGATGGAGAAGGGTGCTACCATAAAACAGTTCGAAGAAGGCCAGCGTTGCAATAAAAATCAGAACAACACCTGACCCCCCTAATTTTGTAGTGCATTTGCAACACGTTGATGGAAAAGGCTTGGCAAGGAAGGAGAGAGAGGTTGGGCGTAGATCCCAACAAGATGGTCCAGGAATTTGCTTTAGAGAAAAGTGATTTTAACTTCTTTGGTCCACTGTGTGTGTGTGTGTGTGTGTGTGTGTGTGTGTACTAATTAGGCAATATTTTCTAAATGTGTATGTATATGTGGGGGGGGCATATATATGTCTGTGCATATGTATATGTGTGTATATATATATATATATATATATAGAGAGAGAGAGAGAGAGAGAGAGAGAGAGAGAGAGAGAGAGAGAGAGAGAGAGAAAAGAAATAAAATAAAATAAAATAAAATAAAATTCAGGAATAGGTTGCTCTCCAATGACCAGATTTATAGAAAATAATCAGAAGGACATTAGTAATATCTTTGTACACTAACATACTGTAGCTTATTAAAAGCCGTACTCTTGTAAGCTACAATGAATGACTATCTGAGACACTAACATGGCATTCTCCTACTACAGCTTTAAAGCATAATGCTGAACGTAAACCCTGCAAAAGTAAATCTCCTGAATTTAGTGGTACTTTACCCTTTCTAACTATGCATACTATTTTGCAGCCCTGATTTTGTTTTTTTCTAAACCCTGTCCTATCTGGTGGTTTCAAAACTGTATGAGGTCATGATAGAGTAAAAATGTAGTTTAATATTTGGTGAAGCTTCTAGTATTTGATTAGATTTATGATATGCAGGTGGACATCCATAAGGGTTTTTATCCCCCATGTTATATTTATCATGCTGGAAATTTCAGTGTCTTGTGCTGTTCCTAAAAGGATCTGCCTACCTGCCTTAGCCATGAAAGCCAGCTGCGTGGCCTTGGGCCAGTCCCTCTCAGCCCAACTCACATCACAGGGTTCCTATTGTAGAGAAAATAGGAGGAGGGAGGCATATTAGATATGTTTGTCGCCTTGAATTGTTTATAAAAATAATAAAAGTTGGAAGATAAAACAAACAAACATTCAGATAATGAAGATGGCTTCTTCCGAAAGCTGCTGAACAGGAACAGAAAAATATGTGTAGGAAATTTAATTTCTAAAGTGTGCCACATATTTGCCAGGTGCTCTCGCTTCTTTTGAAAATGATGAAGGCTAAATGTCCTTATTAGCTAACCATCAGAACTCAGCTAGTCCTAGCGAGGGGGTTTCCTCATACATTTTATCCCATATACTCCTAAAGCTCATCTTTGGGATTAGAAGGAAATCATCATTCTAATTATATAGCTGCAATTTGAAACTAAGGCGATTTTTTTCTCCCTGAAGGCAGATAGGGAGAGCTTCACAGAGCCAGATGCAATGTGCTGGCGGCAAATAGTATTTTGTTATTATATTTTGTTTTCCTGAGTAGGTCCAATACTCTGCTTCAGGTTTGTCCGGTTTTTATATCTTATCCAACTGAGTTTCAGAGCAGAAGTCTTACACAGTAATTTCAGGGTGGCTTTTCAACTAAAGATTTGCACATTTTGGATTTTTTAAAAAAAAAATCTGAGATTTTTTTGGAAGTGGGATCATTATAGGGAAGAATAGCTTTTTAGATAGTTCTTGGGGGACTTTTTTTCCAATTTGTCTCTTGAATGTAATCCTATCAAGATCAAGATGATGAATGAACAAGGAGTTTGTTTTGAGCCAGTTTTAAGTGATATATATATATATATATATATATATATATATATATATATATATATATATATATATATATATATATATATGTAGGTCTTTGGTTGTTCGGGTTTTCTCCCGCGTAAAATTGGAAGTGTCTTGGCGACGTTTCGACGAAGTGTCGCCAAGACACTTCCAATTTTACGCGGGAGAAAACCCGAACAACCAAAGACCTACATACAAATACCCGCGAAAACCTCAGAAAACAAACACACACACACACACACACACACACACACACACACATATATATATATATATATATCCTCTTTTGCTTATATGGTTATATATATATATATATATATATATATATATATATATATATATATATATATCCTCTTTTGCTTATATGGGCTTATATATGGACAATATGAAATACAAAATACAGTAGAATTTAGTAACCTGAAGAAAAAAACTCTTTTTTTACATATTCTTCAGATTGTATTTGGCCAGTACAGTATAGATGAGCTTAATTTATTGTCAAAAGATGATGGAAAAAAAAACCTAGCTGGTACAAAGAACCAGGATCATTTGTTGAGTTTAAGCACAGAAGATTTATTATCACAGCCTAATACACAAGAATCTAGTCAACCATATAGGTCAGCACTAAATTGGCGTAGATAAGGATCAGCAAAATTCAAGGGGGGCTGGACTTGGGTCTCTTGTGGGAATGCAAAGACTCTAAATTGATGACATATTTAGCTCCACCTTTGAGCTCTGTCTGCTCTTCTTCCTCAGTTACCACTTTTTTATTCTCTTCTGTACTCTTTTATAATATAGAATTAGAATAGAATAGAATAGAAATAGACTAGACTAGACTAGACTAGACTAGACTAGAATAGAATAGAATAGAATAGAATAGAATAGAATAGAATAGAATAGAATAGAATAGAATTCTTTATTGGCCAAGTGTGATTGGACACATAAGGAATATGTCTCTGGTGCATAGCTCTCAGTGTACATACAAGCAATAAATCATGATCATAGTCATCATAAAAATACATCATAAATCATAAGATACAACGCTTAGTGATAGCCATAGGATACTAAAATAAGCAGTCAACATAAATCATACTAGGTTACTAAATAAAACAATATAAATTGTAAGATACAAGCAACAAAGTTATAGTCATAAGTAGATTAGGAGATAGGTAATAGGAAAGATGAGAAGAATAGTAATACATCCTTACTAGATAGTTTGACAGTGTTGTGGGAATTAGTTGTTTAGCAGAGTGATGGCATGGGGGGGGGGAAACTGTCCTTGTGTCTAGTTGTTTTGGTGTGCAATGCCTGATAGCAGGGGTCCCCAACTCCCGGTCCGTGGACCGGTACTGGGCTGCGGTATGCCAGCAACTGGGCCACACAAACAAACAAAGCCCCGTCTGTGGGATGCAGTCAGCGCACAAAACCACACACCCTCCGGTCCGCGGAAAAATCTCTCTCCACATAACCGGTCCCTGGTGCCCAAAAGGTTGGGGACATCTGCCCTGTAGCATCGTCTTGAGGGAAGAAGTTGAAACAATTTATGTCCAGGATGTGAGGGGTCTGTAGATATTTTCACAGCCCTCTTTCTTGCTTGTGCAGTGTACAGGTCCTCAATAGAAGGCAGCCTAGTAGCAATTGTTTTTTCTGCAGTTCTAATTATCTGTTGAAGTCTGTGTCTGTCTTGTTTGATTGTAGTGCCAAACCAGAAAGGTATAGCGGTGCAAATGACAGACTCAGTAATGTATGTATGTGTGTATGTATGTATGTACGTACGTATGTTGAAAGAAGCCACGGAAGCTGCAGACTGTTGCAGAGGTGATTGTACAGGTAGTCCTGGACTTATAATCTTTCATTCAATGACTGTTTGAAATTGGGCCTTATGATTTATGTCTCAAATTACAATCCACTGCAGCACTCCTGTGGTCACATGTCTGTGATCTGGGCATATGGAAACCCATTTGTACTTATGACCAGTTGGCACATGCCCTAAGATCATATGATCACCATTGGCAATCTTCCCAACCGGCTTCCCCAGAAAGTCAATGGGGAAGCCAGCAGGGAAGGTGGCAAGTTGCTGCCTTCTGCAAAGAGGACTTTCATTTAGTTTCTGGAGGCTGGCTGAGAAAGGCCTGTGCTGAAATCCAAGCAGCGTTTTCAGCTCTGCAGCAGAGACTAGTCCGCAGCACCCAACTCATTGGGCCTCCCAGGGCCTCCTTCACCCCTCTGAGTCTCCCCATGTTCCTTACCAGTGACTCTATCCACTAAATGACTACAACTGGTAGTGCCAGAATTGTGGTTGTTGAGGGAAACAGTCCTGTGATGTCTCATTTAACAATTGAT